ATTCAAATATTTCTTTTCTTTTCTTGACATAAAGTGTACCTCCTCGTAAGTTATGTATGATTATCTAGACAAGTCATATCATGTCATTTTAACTTTGATTGTAATTTTTACAGGTAAGTTCATAATTTACAAAGTAATAACTCTTCTCCCTACAGACAAAACAGTCGTTCCAGGAAAAGACGGAATTTCTCTAGATGATAAAAAAAATTTCTAGCTCAAATACATTCATGAGAAAAATTCGCTCTCTCTCTCTCTCTCTTAAATAAACCGATGACGTTTTATCAACAATATTCATTTTCATTCCTAGGTTGATTCCATATATCCCTTTGAACTGGAAATAAAAGATACCTCAGAGTCTGACACATATGTTTCATATTTGAATATTTTACTAGGAAAAGACGTAAGTGGTAAACTAAAAACAAAACTTTATGATAAACGTGATGACTTCATCTTTTCTATCGTCAACTTCCCTTATTTACTGAGTGTAGCAATATACCCTTATCACCAGCATATGGTGTTTATGTCTCCCAGTTGATCTGATACGAGAGGGCATCCTCTACGTACGAACAATTTCTAAAACGAGGCAAGCTTTTGACAAATAAGTTGATGAAACAAGAATATCAACATTCTCATTTGAAGTCAACATTTCACAAATTCTATAGTCGATACAATGACCTTATCAGCAAATACATGTACATGTATAATCTATCATTGAATGTTGACTTACCTTTTTTGTACAAATTGATAAGCCATTATTTTCACACTGAATTGTCTACGGATTTTCCGTTTGCCCAATCATGACTGGGATCGTCACATGACGGTTGCTTACTCCTCCATAGCACCTGATCCCACCTCTGATGTTTTAGAGATCCGTGTTTGCTCGGCTCCAAATTTGTTTTGTTTCAATAGATTTTTGAGCTTGATTACTGTTCGTTATCTTCAAATTACATGTAGCATATGCCGCGTAAGCAACAAAAGATTTACTTGCCAAAATCATATTCATGAGAAGGTGATACATGTACCACCATTTCACTTTTCCCGAAGCTTAGTTTAGGATACTTCCCAATGTACATTAAGTGTAAGTGAAAATACAACAGGATTTGCAAGGGGGGGGGGGGGCTTTCAAATGTACATTAAGGAAAGCTTCTTGTTTGGTTTCTGATTAAATGAAATATTCAAAGTATATTTGCTTAAATGTGTTTTATATTTAGATGTAAGGGCCCTGTCACATCAAGCTACGTCCACACGGAGTTATTACGGCGTTATTAAATTTTTAAAATCGCAGTGGAATCGCAGGGAAATTGCACATATTTCTGTAAAATTTTCACAATGTGAAGTTGTCACGGCGTCCCTACGGCGACCAACGCGTTCCTACGGCGTTTTCGCGGCGTGCTACTGCGTTCCCAAGGAGATTTCTTCGCGATTGACTACGGTTCCGCGGAGCTTTCACGGCGTGTTAGCAGTTGTTTCCTCGAGTTCACGGCGTTTTCACTGCGTTGACTGCGTTTACAATACGTTCACAATGCGTTCTTCAACCATGGATATGTATTAAGAAGTAGTGTAACACATTTTTTTAAAGATTCAAGTTAAATGATGCAACAAATACGTTAGAATTATTGCTGATCAAATATAAGGCCATTGCTCTAGTTTTGTGAGCTGGCTGACAACGCTCTAAAAACGCCGTGAAAGCGCATCGTGATCGCTAACAGACGCGATAGAAACGACAATTTTTAAGGGAGCGCAGTGATCGCAGTGACAACTCCTTGTTGTCGCGGTGTAATCGCAGTCAGAAAAAAATCACAAGACGATTAATCTCATTAGAAGCGTCGTTAAAACCGCGATTGAAACGCAGTGACATCTCCAAGGACTCCGCGAGATCTCCTTGGAAGCGCAGTCTACTATCACTGAGTTCAAGCTGCGATCATGTGCGTCTTCAAGGCGTGCATACGGAGCTCCCACTGCGTTGTTGGAGATCTCACCGCGCTGTTACGGCGATCATACTACGTTTTTACTGCGTTCTTATCAGACCGCGATCACACGGCGCGTACTTTGTGCATACCCAAAGTGCGCGCCGTCCCCTGGCGTTCTAGGAGACCCTACGCGACCCTACCGTGTTCAGTGGAGATCTTGCCGCGTTGTCACGGCGCTGTAGGAGACTCTACTGCGCTCACCTTGGCGTTTTGCATTTTTTATGGACGCCGTGCGATCGCTGTGAGGACGCAGTCCCGGTGTGACAGGGGTTTAAGGGATTTAAAAGATCATATTTTTCTTTTCTCCTTACAATTTTACAACTTTAAATAGAAATGGTAACTGAGTTTAAAATCTAGCAGGGACTATATATATATATATATATATATATATATATATATATATATATATATATATATATATATATATATATATATATATATATATATATATATATATTGGCGGAACAGCGGTGTATGAAAATATTTACTTTTTCTGCCTCAAATTTGCTACAGAATTAAAAATATTAGTTTCTAATTGGAAACATTCTACAATTAAAGACTTGAAGGAATTTTCTGAAGTAAATGAAATAAGTTATTATGAACCGGCTTAAGTTTTAAATTATAAATTATATCAAATATAAATATTATTTTCCAAACTAACTACAACCTTGTTAGCTTTTGATAGTTTTCAGTCTAAAAACAGATTTGAGCAAAAAATCAGAAAAAGTGTCATTCTCTCTTATCAAACAAACAAAACTATTTTTTATTTTGTATCTTTATATGCCCACTTCACCAAATGTAAAAATAAGAAAAATTTGAATATACAAAGCACATAAAATTACTAATATTCACTAAAATTTGGAGAAAACAGAGGAAATTAGGGTTAGCGGTGTCTGTTTTCATTACATTATTTATCTCATTTTGGTTGAATCATCTGATAGATTCTATGTAATATCAACTTTTTATGCAAAAAGAAATAATGACCTTGACCTGGCCTTGCTCCTAAAATAAGATGGTCAAAATAAATTTAACTGGTACCACCACTTAGTGATATTGGTTTCTCGAATCTATGAAAATTTCATTGATTTTTAAATACAATATATGAGAAGAATTCATCCTTAAATATAACTGAAAATTGGACCCGGCTTGCGTGGAGGGTCGTAGGGGTGAGTCTGCTCATACAGTTCTTAGGCATTTCATTTTCAACATCAAGATATTAATTCAGCATCCTCTAAATCGCTTATCAAACATTATAAATGGCATATTAAACAACGAATAATTCAAATGCACCGATCTACCTGGATAAAGATATCAGTTAGATGCGATTGCACTTGAATTAGGGTTATCTGAAATCCCCCTCCTGTGTGTATAGACACTGAATAAGATTTATCAATATTACGGAAAAAGCCTGTCTAATTTCAGGGCAACACAAAAGTACAAATAACACCGAATTAAAGTATAGTTAAAGAACTCCAGGGATTGGTTTTATTAGAGAAGTTTTTACATGTGAGGACAAAGAATTTATGTAGGTTTTCTTTTACAATTGCAATTTCAGTTACTTATTCAAAAACAACGATCAGAAACAAAAGTTTTTTTTTTAAAGATGTTTAAATTGTACTTTGTGGGGGAAAAATGATATTATACGTGAATATGAAGTTGAATAAATTCATAGCAATATCAAACTATAACTGTGTTTAAACATTAGGACTTTCTCTCAAATACGATTCATACACACACACAAATAATAAGTAAACGTTTCATTTATTTTATTTTTCTATATTTACATTTCCAAATATTGTTCCTTTAAAAGATTCTTTGCAAATTAGAAGACTGTTCATTTTCTCATGAACGGCCATGGATGAGCATGAATATCTCCATTGTTACGTCATAATACCGTACTTGACGTCAAAACTATAGTGCAAACGTTTTCCTTTAAAAATGATAGTTGAATGGCATCTTGAATATTTGTGGTAACTCATCAGAAAATAATGTAAATATAAGAAATGAATTTAATTTTTGAAAATTCACGAGGTACATGAACTACAACGCGCTTCATGAAATATGCCGGCGTGAAGCGTCGTAGTTCATATCCTCATGAATCTTCAAAAATTAAATGCATTTCTTAATTAAACACTAATCAAATGATAAACAACAGGGGGGGGGGGGGGGTTCCTGCCGATTTGTGCAGTACATACATTTCATCTGATGATATTGCATATATAGAGCCTGGATTTCAGGATGGTGTATTTTGTGCATTGTGTGTTTTTCTATATATGTCTAAATAAACTGATTATAGTAATAATCGAAAATCGCTGAAATTCGTATTTCAATGTATATAATTATAATAATAAAAGAAACTTTTTAATGTACATTGGAAATATGATTTTTTTTTTTTAAATCGCGAATTTCAGCGATTTTCGATTTTTATTAATTATTATAAGTTATTTAAACACACAATTCATTGTATACTGAATACACTGTCCTGAAGCCGAGCCCCTATGGGTATTTGTCCAATTCGGAGTAAACAACAAAATATTACGCCCGTAAACGATATAGCTTGTACGTACTATTGCTTTTGATAACATGCACTAATAAGTACTTTATTAAATGTATGAAACATACAAGGAACGCACAATGTATAAAGTCCATTGCTCTACCTTTATTACGGATGTTATAACTATTACTAATGGGGTCCATCCAAAGTCCCATCAATCAAATTAATCAGAAATTATTGCGCCTCGTGATACACGGCCAAAGGAAAATGAACAAATATTTATAAATTTTAATTTTATTCATAATAAGGAGGACAGGTACTCTGCTTATTTACACGTATATCCTATTTACCAGTCTATGGATCCCATCTGCTCTAAACCGACAAATTCACATTGTGTAAACTAAAATTTAATATTATAATACATTCAACAATCTATACTTTTTATAACCCGATGTAATGTATAATCTAGATTTTGCCTATAATTCATAGAAAATTGATTATTCCATAATCCGATTAAGCTATGAATCGAGATATTCCACAATCCAGACATTACTATGAACCGATATACATGTATTCCACAATCCAGATTTTACTATGAACCGATATATTCCACAATCCAGATTTTACTCGACAATGTTCCCACCCAAAGGTTCTTTTTCTCGTCCACATCGAGGCCCCAGGGTGAGTAGAGGCCGTCCTCTACCGTGAGTATGTACTGCAGGAAGAAACCATCTTTATCAACGAGATGAATCCGGAAATGACTATTATCGCCGATCAGAATGTTTCCAAAGGAATCGTAAGTGACGTAAAATGGCGAAAAGGTGTCGCCCTCCAACCCACGGTAAATGAATCGAAGACATCCGGATTTATCCACCACAATGACACTATTTTCTGCAGAATCCGACACACAGATTTAAGAAATGAATGTAATATTTTTTCTTTGACCGAAGTATCAAACAAAAATTTGGACGGAAAACGTCATCAATGCGCGTAGCGCATTGATGAAAACGTTTTCCGTCCAAATTTTTGTTTGATACTTCGGTCAAAGAAAAAAATATTACTTTCATTTCTTATCATTTAATTATGATTTAAAAATAATAAAATGAAACTTTCTCTCACTTTAATATTTAATTTAAGCATCGAAGACGGTGCGTAGGAATACATCATAACAACGTTGCTGAAATTCAAAATGGCTGAATGTACAGATCTACGCGCATTGGATTGATGAAATTTTACGTCCAAGCTTTCTATGATACATCGACCAAAGAAAAAATTATGAGATTTATTTCTTATCATTTGATATTTATCTTTCAATGATGAGATTTAACCTTAGAACGATCGAATGACTGTCCAACATATAGGCCTAGCTTAGTTGCCTAAATTTTCAGACACAGAGTATTACGAACAAACAACATGTTCAAATATTGTTGTGTCATTACTAACTTTTTCTATCAAAAACAGTTTTAACACAAAAACTTACCTGTTGTGTTATTAATTTTTGCTATGTTCCTCCAGTAAGCTGATATCTTTAGATTCGTAAATGTAAAGGGAAGCTACTCAAATAAAGTTCACAGAAATTTTCGGTTTCATATGCGCATCTCTTCATCTGAATTTCAAATCGAACATATATATACGTATCACAAAATATCCATGCATAATACAACACGCTTCAAAATCTGGAAGAGTCTGTCGCCGACTGTTTAACTTTGAAAGAATACCCGTCCTCGCTCAGCGTCGTTTTTCTCATGCATTCGTTTCCTAAGAATTAACAGATTAACGGCATTTCCCCGCTTTGGTAGCATAAAAACATTTCTTCACAGTTCTATTGTTCATACCAGTTATCTCAAAGAAAAACATTTAACATATGTATGATGATTTCTTTCCTTTTTTCACGCAACTGCATTGTTGTCATTTGCAGACGATCTGATTTGTTTAGCAAAGGGGGATAATTCGAAAAGAAACGAAAGTAGAAAATAACTCGGGAACGTAACGGACAAATTTTGAAATTCAGGAAAATAGAGTAAAATCATTTTCTTTCACAAAGTAATATGGAAGCTGAAATATACATGTCAAGTTAGCCAAAGTAGTTCCGGCTGTCAAGTGCAAGTGAACTCCAGATTCTATTGATGCAGTTATCAAAAGAATTTTTTATCCAATCAGAATCAATTATTTTATAGAAATTAAATGATATCACCGTTACGTGAGCTCTCAGACACTTTTGTCGGGCTTCGATATAGGGGTTTTCCACTGGCATCGAATTGAATTTTTTGCAAAGTTTTTCCACAGCTATTCAAGCGAAGAATTTTTCCTTCATCCCTTTTCGCCAAGCATATGAGGATTTCGCTTTCACTCGTTCTGCATATTCCCTGAGAATAAAATGGTGCAGCGTTAAAAAAGTCCGATATTTCACCATTGTTTATTGCTTTGATTAATTGTCCATTAGAGAGAAGAAGTGTGTCGTTGAGTATTGCAAGATTATACGGGTAGAAATCTAAAAATACTTCATCCAGCACTTCCCCTTTAGCGTCTACTAGCCTTACCGATTGTGCACCTGTGCCAACCCATGCGTGACCGTTTGGTAGTGTTCGAATGCAGTATGCTGCATCGTTATTCGCAAGCGTCAAGTGTGTGACGTGACCAATGACTACTTTGACGTGACTGGAAGTATGTTGCGCATTCTGAAAATGTTCCTCTTTCTCTTGATAAATTGTTGAATTCTCCTGCTGCAAGTACCCGTAAAGTTTCTCTATAGCACTTCTATTAATAGAATCACTTGATACGAAGGTCGGGGGACAAATTGGCTTAAATGACTTGGAACATTGTGTACTGGTTAACTTAGAGATGGCTTTTTGGGCAAATATTATGAAAACTTCATCTTGTTCACTTTTGATCTCTAAATCAGAGGCAGTCAGTAGAGCAGCGGTGCATTCCAGTTCCGCTCTAACAGCTGTGGCAGATGTCTCTAGTGACCTCGTATCCGCATCCTCACGTTCACTTAAATCGTTTAAAATGGCTTCACATGTTAAATCTAGTTGTGATTTTAAATGTTTTGTTCTATCCGTAATTTCTAGTCTTAAATAAGCACCGTGTTTCATATATTCTTCTCGATTTATTCGGATCTCATCAGATATTTTCCTCAGATTGGGTAATGTTGTCTTTCGAGCAAAATTAACCCTCTGCACAAGCTGAATTCGGAGTTCATCGGCTATTTTCTTCAGATCTGCCTGCTCATGGCCGCAATGTTTCTCCTTCCAACATATTTTACAAGTGAGTATTTCACAGTCACGACAGAACATACTCGGTTTCTGATCTTTGTGTTGCAAGCACAAAGCCTCGTTTTCGATCTCTTTTGATAGAGAGACCCCGTGATCGCTATACATGGTTTTCTCTAGATCTTTTATGTTATATATACTGTCCACAGACTATCTCTCGGGAGCTCTCACAATTTCCAAAATTATTACAAGGAGTCTCAAAGAGGTATTACTCTCTGGTATCCTATGGGGAAGACATTTTATAGCGTCTCAGTAGGTCACAAACACCAATGAATGACGGAGAAAACTTTCACTTGATGTGGACAGATCTACAATGCTTAATTATCCATTAAAAGAAATCTCTGATTTCGCCTAACCACCTTTTACATCCCTCCAGCTTGAGATGTCTCCGTCTGTGTGTGTCGCTGTCCGACAAGTTTCCGTGTTATCTTTGTAGACTATATACAGATAAACAAGAGACAAAGTCGAGCATTGATAATGAAGTTGTTATTCATCAGTTTTAGATTTGTTATCTCTTCTTTATAAAATAAATTGCAGCGTACAACTCTAGTGTGATGTTTAATTAAAAAGAACTATATGCGAGTTTAGAAATTGGCATTTCATTATTCCGTCCGAAGGGAAATTCAGTTGGGCATGCGCAGTTGATGTCGGCATTTGTAGAATCAATAAATAATCAATAAAACTCATCCTTGGATCAGCTGAAAAAGAAGAAATAAGAAATTTATTTTCTGCTATGTTTCATCCTTTCTATTTTTAGAAAATTGTTATATACTGTGTACTTCCCCCATCGTGTCTTTAACATGTTTAAATTAAAAACAGACGTATATATATTTGCGAGCATCTAGTGTACCCTCACTAATTAAATAACAAATAAAAAATCTTCCTATTATAATTTTAAAAAATAGCATATTTATATATGTATACATGTACTGCACTTTTTACATGAATAAAAAGTTGACACCAACCCGCAGGGATTGTAATCAAAATTTCTGAAGTGTGTTGGCTGATAAATTCAAAAAGATGGTTAATTTATAGCGTAGGTTTTTTTTTCTATCTGGGGGATAAATTAAAATAATATTTGCCAGAGACGAATTAAATTTAAAACCATCGTGGGTAATTGTAACAAGAAAAATCTTTTCCGCTGGGAAAGATATTAGTAGTCAAGATTTTTCTTTGAAATTGCCAGAGTTTATCGTCAATTTCTCGGCTGGATACGGGATCAAGATCCAATAACTGCTTATTGATTCCTGGTTAAAGTCCGAATAATCTCTTTTTCTAATACAAAACAGAATCGTGTTTAAATTTGCTATTGGAGGGGGATTGTTAAGTCAAGATAATCTGTCTTGATGGTCGTATTTGCGAACTTATGAAATCCGAGCTATAAAAGTATACTTTACAAAAGTTAAGACTGTTTTATGATTGAAGTGCTGCGTTTTTGTGGATTTTTGTTGAAAGAAAGAGGTGTACATGTATGCAAATATTGAAGTTAGCGGATTCGAAATGAATGCTCTTATTCCTCTTTCGGAACTAACTTTAATAAGCGAACCCTCCATAGAAATTCTGTTGTTAGTCAGTCTGTTGTAACGTTGTTAAATATATCCTTGCAATTAGTGAAAAGAAATTCATGTGTGTTTTTTTTTTTTTTTTTTTTTTTTTTTTTTTAAAGAGAGACGTTCTAATCCATTCACTCCCTTGTCCCCAAGGACAAAAGCTTAGAGGTGAAATGTTTAAAAAAGTAACTTGCTCTGAACAATTCCAAAACTTCTTCCTTGTACCAGATCAGTATGAAAGCACCCTAATGTGCTACGTTATTTTTTTCATAGCTTCAAGTAATTAAAATGTGATGAGGTATTATTATATATAGGTTTGAAATACTGTGACTCTACAGTGTATATATATCATTTCCTGAATGCTTACAATGTACGTATGGAATGCACTTTTACTGAGAGAGAGAGAGAGAGAATCTTTATACACAGAGAGAGAGAGAGAGAGAGAGAGATTTTGATTTTCAACGATATACATACCTTATTATGTGATTACATGTAGATGTCTGTAAATTATTCGAAAAATTTTGTATATATATATAGTTAAGATACAGGAAATGACAATGTATTTCTCACAAAAAAATACATGTATACAAAACTTAAAATTCTGTTTCCGCGTAACAGACTCGACATCGTTTTTTTTTTAATTTGACCTTAGAACCTGCTATTAGTACAGTTGTCCTTAGAGTTCAAATGACGTCGACTCTCTCTCTCTCTCTCAAATTTGTCTGTAATCTACTAAAGATTGTTTATATCTTAATAAATACGATTTTAAGCTATTGTTATAGAATAAGAAGTTTCCAAATAATAAAGCAAACACAATAAAAATAAATTTGTATTTGATCTAAAGGTGATGATCTCAAAATCAAAATACTAAGAAATATTGTGCTTACCTTTGCCGATGACTGGCCGCTGGTCCCGTCTTTTCTCACTTTTAGGAATTCTCTAATCTTGCTGGGGAAAATCCTTATCCCCCACAATTTATCAATTGTCAAAAAATGAAAACGCAGAAAGGGCTTAGTAAAAAAAAAAAAAAAAACGCATGTCTCTGCAGTGGACTAACATTTATCTTATAATTTATAAAATCAATATCAGGACGGGTCTTCATTTGTCAAATTAATGCTTATTTAACGTATAAATATTGACAAATCGTTTTCCAACACAAAGGAGGGTATAAAACTTTGCTACACTACGCAGTAAGTGGGATATTTGAAAGGAACTTTAACCGCGGAATCATGAAAACAAACAAGTATTTCATCGGTTTTATTTACGCTAGAATTGTTAAATTACCGTTTTGCTTGCTCATGTACACTTTGGAGTTTGATAGCCTAATCGTTTGACATTAATATCTTACTTATCAAAAACGAGTGTTTGTGCGATGCACCATGGGTGGATCCAGCAAGTGGTGTAAGGATCTACCAGGGGCCTTTGTACTAATCTGCTACTAATCATGTATAGATTTTTTATGCATAAAATGAAGCGAATTTGAACTTAAATTGAGATTTGTAAATGACCTAAATTTCCGAGAGGTGTGTCAGACTCGAGGTCAGATATCAAAGGTCAAGGTCACGAAGTATTATGATACAAAATTTGACATAACCATCGTGACATTAAAGAATAGAAATAAAGTTTGTTATTGAAATCAATACAAATAGAATTTACGTACCAAACAAACTGAAACATTTATTTATAAAATGTAAATGTTGTATTGTACAATACAACAAACATTATACAATATTGATAACGAAATATAAAATACAAATAGAAATCATAGAATACTAATAGAAAATATGTATAATATAAAAATAAAAAATGAATGTGGTATTAAATTGAAATATACAATACATGGAAAATTATACAGTGTACAAATGAAATTTCACAGATTCTCTGAAATTGTTAGGCCATTATTTTTTCCTGAATTGTTTACGGATTTTTCCGTTTGCCCGCTCATGACAAGCAGTACACGGCGGATGTGATCGGTCGACAGTAGATGCTTATTAGTCCATGACACCTGATCCCATGTACCTCTGATGTTTTTAGAGGTCTGTGTTTGCTCTGCTCCCAATTTGTATTGTTCCAATGGACTTTTGAGCTTGATTACTGTCCATGACAGTATTTCACACAATACATATAAAAATACACAATACGAATGGAAAATTAGAATACAAATGAAATTATACAATACAAATGGAAAGGATCGAATATTGCTACGTTTGACATGTCATACAACATCAAAAATTTAAAGAGGCTGGGACACAGATTTGAAGCCCATATTTTCTAAAATTTTCTAAACAATGTCATGACTTATATATTGTCAGAGCATTTTACACCGAAATATATCAAAAGCAAGTTAATTTAGAAACTTCTTTTATCTGGAAATTATTAAACTACGCATTTCGGGACGCGTTTGATTGACACAAAGTTAACTTTATCCAAAATGCTAAATAAAAGTAGAAATTCTGTTGCGTATTAATAAACTGTAATCAGAAAGTTCTGAGAAGATATGCGAGAAAGCGAAATCAACTCTCCAATATTGTCAGTCCGTGCTCAGTGATATGTACAGACTAAACAAATTGAACACACCCGGTAAAACGTAAACACTAACAATAACAGAGCTCGTGCCCTGTTTACAAACACAGGTGTTTGACGTGATGTTATGAAGAATGTCGTTGTCATTGAATTCTTAGAATATTCGTACAAGTTCAAATCATTAAACTGAAGTAAATTTTTTTAAAATAAAAATAGACATTTTAAAGTTGTAAACAATGCAACTGTGTCCAGGCCCCTTTAACGAGAAAAGCTATTAGAGATCGGGATCGAAGTAACAAAAATACAGAACACTGGAAAACAACGAAAAAAGAGAAATACTGTTAATACTCGTTAAAAATAGGCTGTGATTGAGTGATTGACTGAATAGGGAGCATTTGCCATATTCTGCTAAGAAATGGCTGGTAAAATGGAAGTGGACGGACCAAGTGGAGGTGTGATGGCGTCCACAAGTTGCCCCGGTAGCGTGTCCGTATCACTGCACCCTCTGGTCATCATGAACATATCGGAACACTGGACTCGAGTACGAGCACAAGAAGGCAAACCTACACAAGGTAATGCAAGTGTATGTAAACAATGTAAATGATTGAATGTTAGTTATGTTGCTTTAAAAAAAAAACGTCCATATTTAGCTAGAACTGACCGAAATTTAAGGAATTGGGCAACATTCCCATAGTTATTGTTTGTCAAGTTTGTCTCCATATTCTATTATAAATAATTCAAGGTAATATTAAATCTAATGATGGCATAAATGTCTCTTGAGCGCTTTCAAAAAAAATTAAACAGGTTGGGACCAATCGCCAAAATGGGATATAATAGCCCGTTTGTCAATGAGATGTAATATCCCAAATAGAATATAAACATGATAAATTTACGGTGCAAAATATGAAAATTTTTATTGTGGCAATAAATACCATAAATCCGTATCAAGATACTTATAAAGGAATAACATTTGGTGAACAAGTTTTTCTGTATGCCCACTGTTTAGGAGAATGATCTCCTGGTAGTTCCTAAACTTCTTGGGGATCAATCAAACAAACTGTAGGGTTGCAGAAAAAACTTGCTTGCCAAAAGTTATTTCTTTGTAAGTATTTTGATGCGGATTTATGATATTTATTACCAAAATAAAAAATTTCATTGTTTGCAATGTAAATTTATATCCCATTTGGGATATTATATCCCAGAGACGGTTTATTATATCCCATTTGGGCAAGTGGTGATTATAACAGGTCTCAACCTGTTAAATGAGTTTACACATACATTGTATGTACATTACATGTACATAATGTACATGACATGTACATATATCATCTATATTATCAGTAATATCTCAATAATAATATCTCAGTATCGTAAGTCTGTTCTCAGTTCTAGGTGCAGTGATTGGTAAACAAAAGGGACGAAATATTGAGGTGATGAACTCGTTCGAGCTGCTGTTTGATTTGATAGAAGGCGAGATAATCCTCAACATGGAATACTACAACACAAAAGAGGAACAGTGTATGTACAACACACACAACACTCATGCACTCACACGACACAACATAAAACAATGTGAGAAGGGTGTGAGGTGGAGGGTTGTAAGTGTCAGTGACCTTTTCAGAGGTTAACTTCATATAACATGTAGATGCTCAGTGTTGTGAATATACGGATTCCGGATTCAAATATATATATATATATATATATATATATATATATATATATATATATATATATATATATATATATATATACACATATATATACATATATATATATATGTTAAGTGAGGATCTCAGTTTTATGAATGAACAATTTAGTCTTTTTATTTACATTTCAATGAACATGCATTTTCTGATTTTGAAAACTGTTGAGTTAGGCAATGTTTTTTTACTACTGTATTCAGCGTAATTTTCGCCCCATGTTATTTTCCCCCTTTGACACTTGCAAACAATTTTGCCACATTTTAAATTCGCCCAGTTACTGTTCTGTTTAAGAAATTATACTGTGTTCTTTAAATTTGCCCTGTTTTAAATTTGCCCACCTTTGAGTAGGGCAAAAGGTGCGAAAATAAAATGGGTGCGAAAATTTCCCTGTATACAGTATTAGTATCCATACATCATAAGGAGACATGGATCATATCAGAATTTTACCTGAGGATAGTTTAGAACCATACACCAACAGAAATACCCTCAGTTATTCAGTTTGTATTTTCTGTGGTGCATTTAGCTACATAACATGTTCTAGCTTATCTTATCATTTTTTAAGAAGAACATAAAAATCATGAATATGCAAAAGTGACATGCAAAAACAATGGTTAATACCAACTCATTATTGACTTCTTATAGTAGAAGTCAAATTCTGTATATATTTGGTAGGATAAACAAGCATATAACATGATAACGATATATTTAATGATATAGCCACTGTGAAATATTTCTGATTTACAGTTAAACAGGTGTTTAGTGACATGGATTTCCTGGGATGGTACTCAACTGGAGACACACCCACTTTCTCTGATATCAAAATTCACAAACAGGTGAGAGGTCACAGGTAAAAGGTCAAGGAATTTAAGATAAACAAACTATTTATAAATTATGAATTCTTCATTCTTTTTGCAAAGAATATCATTGAAGACTTTTTAAAGGACACTATGGAATATGCAATGCATTTAGATCCTGATCACATTGTTTTCCAGTTTGTGTGATATATATATATAATTTTTTCCTCGCAGATCTGTCAGATAAATGAGAGTCCCATATTTGTCAGATTGAATCCCCTCGCTCGACAGTCAGATGTGAGTACTCTTCTGTTTCACTTGATTTGATGTGTTTCTAGTGTGTGATATTGAGTTACATATATATTTACACCTTGTCTATTGCAGCTCCCTGTGACAATCTATGAGTCAGTAATCGATCTTGTCAACAATGAAGTAAGTATATAAACATGTACATGTATCCATTTTTTGGTTGAGAGGGATTAATTATAACCTATAGGGTATACTCAATTTCTCTGTCTTCTACATGTATATTTGACATATCCCTGGTATTTGACATATCCCTGGTATTTGACATATCCCTGGTATTTGACATATCCCTGGTATTTGACATATCCCTGGTATTTGACATATCCCTTGTATTTGACATATCCCTGGTATTTGACATATCTCTGGTATTTGACATATCCCTTGTATTTGACATATCCCTGGTATTTGACATATCTCTGGTATTTGACATATCCCTGGTATTTGACATATCTCTGGTATTTGACATATCCCTGGTATTTGACATATCTCTGGTATTTGACATATCCCTGCTATATGACATATCTCTGGTATTTGACATATCCCTTGTATTTGACATATCCCTGGTATTTGACATATCTCTGGTACTTGATGTTTTGATCAGAATTTCAGATGTAGCTATTTGAAACACATCAGTTTTGGTCAGTGATAAACCTATTACATATTTTTCTGACAGGCCACTATGTTATTCGTGGAGCTACAATACACACTGGCTACTGAGGAGGCAGAGAGGATAGGGGTGGATCATGTGGCACGGATGTCTACATCAGATACGGGTGAAGGGTCATCAGGTATGTTGTTTCTTCCTAGAATTAATGGTAGACCAGTGGTTCTGACATAGTAGTGCATGTATAGAGATGGTACGATCATTTTGACATATTGTCTTTACTCAGACTAATGTAGTGTGCATTTTCAATGTACAATAAAATATTATTTTATTACCTGAGGAAATTGCAAGAAAGTTTTGTAGAAAATAATAAATGTATTGAAATCAATGAGTATATATATTGTGTGCTTTAATTTGATTTATTGATGACCTTACAATGAAACTGGATTGACTGTATGTTTTGTCTTCATTTCTCTTTACATCTTTTCTCATTCCCAAAATTTTTTTTGAGTTATTTGATGGAGGTTCCGAACACTTGTAGGGCATAGGGGTCATTTTGTTGGAGTTATGGCCCTTTCATTAATTAACTCATATTCAAAGAAATTCTGTTTACTAGAGGTTATTTGAACTAAACTTTCATACATTTATGAGTATAAATGAGATTTCATACACCAATGAATACAGAATACCTGCAGATTAAAGTTCAGTTTCCTGGGGATTTCAATCTTATTTTCTGGAGATAAGGTCCTTGCTGGTGGGGAGGTGAACTTTTAAAAAATATTGAATTGAGATTTTGAACACTGTTGTATATAGAGGGGTTGGTTTTTTTATGATCTTTCTAGGGGAATTAAAGCCTGGGGTTTGTGTCAATGTCTCCTCTGGTAATAAAATCTTTTTCTCTTTCTTGTAGTTGCAGAACACCTAATTGCCCAACACAGTTCTATCAAGATGTTACACAGTCGGGTCAAGCTTATACTGGAGTACATTAAGGCTGTACAGGCTGGTAAGTAAGATAGATAACTCTGTACTGGAGTACATTAAGACTGAACAGGCTGTTATACATGTATAAAATATATAACTCTTGTACTGGAGTACATTAAGGATGTACAGGCTGGTATGTAAGATAAATAACTCTTGTAATGAAGTACATTAAGGCTGTAGAGGCTGGTATGTAAGATAAATAACTCTTGTACTGGAATACATTAAGGCTGTACAGGTTAGTACGTAAGACTGGTCATTCTTGTAGCTAAAAGGAAAGGAAAGATGTTATCCATTTACAAATATAATAAATGCATTTTTTGAGGGGGGGGAGAATACTTTAGTATTTTCATCACAGTTTTGTCAGTTATTGATGATTAAAGCTAACATTTTTATTTTTGAATCATATCAAAAAATAGGAAAATTTTATAAAGACAAGGGTTGTTAAATGCACAATTATATATATATAGTACTCAAGCACCACTTTTGTGTCAAATAAAGCTACAGAAAAAAGACCACATAATGTATGATTTTTGTGTTAAAAGACAATTCTGAACAATATTCTACATTCAGGAAGCATTAAAATTTTTGTTATTTTATATATATATGTGTTTTGTGTTTAACAGGGGAAGTCCCTAAGAACCATGACATTCTACGGGAAGCCTACAGTCTTTGTTACCGACTCCCTGTTCTCAACACGCCCAAGTTCAAAGAGGACTTCTATAATGTAAGAGAAATAAACTACATATAAGTTATTTCAAGATAAAGGGAGATTAGGTCTTGTTTGACTTATTGCTGAAATTTTACCTAGGCCTTAGCTAACTACTTAAGGACAGGGAATGATCAGAGAAAATTGTAAAAGTTTTGAAGGTTATTGATATTGCATGTGTAGGATTTCATCAAAGGGCAGTAACTCTATCATTCTTGCCTTCTCTAGGATCTAATATTGATTATATAACCCACAAAATGTTTCTGCTTCTGACAGGATAAAACCTGTAACACTTAAGATAAGTTAGAAAAGTGATGTTTTTGGATAATCATTTATTCTTTTTTGCAAATTAAAACATTGCTTTAGACCCTGAAGTTGATTTTGATAATTGACCTGTAGAATGCGTGTTGTCTGTCTATTGAAGAATTCATACACATAGGTCAAAATTGGTTTCCTTATGGTTACATGCCTTAAATCTCAATTCTTTGTATTCATTCTTGGTATGTTCTCACTAATAAATATAATCTGTTATTTATTGCAGCAATGTAATGACGTTTGCTTAATGGCATACCTGGGTACAATAACGAAGGGCTGCAACACAATTAACCAGGTCAGTGTAACACAATTAACCAGGTCAGTGTGACACAATTAACCAGGTCAGTGTGACACAATTAACCAGGTCAGTGTAACAGTTAACCAGGTCAGTGTAAACTAGGTACATTGTGATTTTCAAATATTAAAGTCCAGTATGAATGAGTGTATTTTATGATTTGCAGTTCAATTTGTGAAGTGTCTGTGAATATCTGTTTATGCATTCTGAGTCCCTCTGGAACAAATGAACATTCTGAGTAATTTACAGTCCTTCAAAATTAGTGTACTCAATAATCAACATTCGAAGTAACTGAAAGACATCCTGAAGAAGTTATAAAATTTTCAGTGACGTAATTTCAGTCCTTCAGAATTATGTTGTGTAGATCACTGTGAATATTAATATTCTTGTTTGTGTAATTTATAGTATGTGGACCATTTATTATAAATGTACTTTGCTATGTACACTGAAATTGGCAAAAGATATTGTGCAACTTGTGGGAGGTACTGGAGTCTATTCTTTTGTTTTACTTTCTGTTTTCATCCAGAATGTGTAAAAGTGATAAAAGTGACATTTTCTTTGTTTTTCAGTTTGTGAACAAGTTTAATGTGATGTATGACAGACAAGGCATGGGTCGGAGGATGCGGGGACTGTTCTTTTGAGGGCTGAGAACTAATTAAATTCATTGATTGGGAACCAGTCTCTCCAGCTGTGATTTTTAATATGCTTCAGATTCATTACAGGAATCTGTGTGTAGTGCTCCGAGGACTGAATGTGGGATGTATGTTGTTGAAAATGAGTCGACAATAAATATATGTTAAATATGTATTATATTTTTTTTCTGTTTTTCCTCCTTCATTGAAAATAAGTAGGAAGATAGCAATTTCTTATCCCTAGGAGTGGCTATGACTCAGATGGGCATAAGCCTGATTTTAGATGTGTAAAAAGTACATGTATTCACATTCCTTAATGGTACAAATCTATTAGGCCATCTTTAAACAGTTGATTGTTTGCCTTCTCCGACTGGCTAAAAATGGCCAGACTCAAAACTTTTTTTAACCTCCAGGAAACAATAATTTTTTTTTCTTTTTATTCCTGAATTTTCTCATCCCGTCATTATGTATGTTGAAATTTTCTAGGAGGGAAGGAGAAGACAAGACACTTTCAGTCAATTTTCTTCAAATAGATGACTCTTCTTACCGTTTGAAGAGGGGTTCGTGTTTTCTAGGTGGACGTCATTTTCCGTTACTTTTAGATGGAAATTCAACTATTGAGTGTGATGCCTATCGGAGTACAGCAGTAGTGCATACACGAATAGAAGGGTGTGTACCAGATCTCTGTCAGATATGCAGAGAAATTAAAGGTTGTCTTCTGAGTAGGAAAATGAAATCCCTAAAGCATTTCTTTGTATTTTACAGTCCCAAGCAAATAGAAGGCCGTATGTCAAAATTTTATATCGTTCATTGACAATGCCACTGCTACACATGAAATACGATACCAGTTATAAAATGAATGATGCTACCAATCATCACACAAAGAAGATGGGCGTGTTTGGCGTGTGATCTGCAGGAATAAGGCGTACGAAACAATTATAGTTTAAATGTCTACGATTTGGTCGGTTGACCACAGCTGGACATACTTTACAAAATTACGCATATGGAAAAATGTTACATTCAGTTTGAAATACTTTGTCATATTTAATATATCACTCCCCTCATCTTAATAATTACTACATGTAAAACTTAGTAACGCTTCACATAAATGATAAACGCATATAGGGTATAGTTAAATGCAATTAAAAGTACATGATTGTATATATTAAAGTGTCAGTAGGTTGGAAGAATTGCTTTCGCTTTCGGTGCAACAGAACCAGAATTTATCTAATTGAAAATAAATAAGTACATACAATTAAACTGACAAAAGAATTGATTGTTTGTACTTTAAAAATATATTAACGCTCCATGCGAGGATCGAACCAAAAATATTTCTTTTTCATTGCACTGGACGGGTGTGACGGTACATATTGTCGTTTTGTACATATTGTCGTCGGCGACAATATGTACCTACCCTCACTGCACATATTGTCGTTAATCGGTACATATTGTCGCCGGCGACAATATGTACCGAGACATGCCTTATTTTCCTCCTGCATAATGGACGACAAAATGTACAGTCAAGCACCAGCACATATTGTCGTCGGCGACAATATGTACAGTCAAGGTCGGCATATATTGTCGTCGATTTATTGTTTTGACGGATATTTAATACATGTATATACTTGGAGGTAATAGTTTTTTGTTCACTAGTAATGATTATTTGGAAATTATTCTTTGCTTTATTCTTATAAAGAATCATGTACCGATATAATTGGTGTAGAGGTCGACATTTTAGTCCCCTGAACTGGAAGTTCAAGTGAACTTTTCTGATCACATTTAATTTTGTCTGACCGTCCCTCTGTCCCTTTGTCTGTAAACTTTTCACAATTTCAGCTTCTTCTCAAGAACTAGTGGGTCAATTACAACCAAACTTGTCCCAAAGCATCCGTGGATAAAAGGGATTCAAGTTTGTTCAAATAAAGGGCCATGCCCTCTTTCAAGGTAAGTTGTTAGGAATTAGTAAAAATTTAGTGACACCTTTTAAAAATCTTCTCAAGAACCACTGTGAGAAAAGAACTACTGGGTCAGAAGAAATGATACTTATGTAAAAGCTTCATTATATAGCGTACATTCAATTTTGACGTGCTGGCATGAAAAAGGTCCCTCACTGCTCAATAACCCTGAGTGCCAAGTATAGGTCGAAATTTGCAGCCCTCCACCGGCAAGTGATGACGCCTAAATACGAATGAAAAATTCCCGAGATGAACAATATAACAACAAAAATAAACAAACAAAAACAAAATCAATTTTGTTCAAACCATGACCCCAGGGGTAGAGTGGGCCCACAACAGGTGATCAAAGTTTTACATTGGAATACAGTTAAATACAGAACATCTTTAAAAATCCTCTCACACCCCCCCCCCCCCCCGCCCGGCAGATTGATTTTTGTTGTTTTTGTTTTTTTGTGCTTTGGTAAATTCTGTTTGTTTAACTCGCATATACTTTCAATTAAAACCATAGGTAAAACGTTCATAAATAATTTACTTATCCGGTAACATATGAAGTAACACCCGTTACTGTATAAATGACTTTTTTTGCTTGACAAAAAAAATTCTGATGACCCCCTCCCGTTCTGAATTTTCTGGATCCACCACAGGAACAGCAGTACATGTAGGCCCATGATTAGTCATGCTTATATGGATGCATCCTCAGGTAGCGCAGATTCAGGTATCTTTAAATCAAACCAAGCCTAGGTGGGGCCACAATGGGCGATCAAAGTTCAAGGATAGGGATATATGGAAAAATTCTTTAAATATGATCTTCTCAGACACAGCCAAGCAATGATTAGTAATATCTATATGGAGCATTGCCGTGCATTGCCATGCGACATGTACATGTTCTGATAGACGACAATATGCGCAGTGAGGGTAGGTACACATTGTCGCCGGCGACAATATGAACAGGACGACAAAATGTACCATCACAAATACGCTGCATGAAATAGCATACGAGACACGTCAGTGTGATTCACACACCAATTACATACACAAAACCAGCAAAAAACAACAAACGAAATCTTTAAGCAACAATATCTGTGGGGCGACAATATGTACAGTGAGGGTGAGGCACATAATGTCGCCAGCGACAATATGTACATGTGTAACTTTTCAGTCGGCGACAATATGTACCGATGGACGACAATATGTGTAGTGAGGGTAGGTACATATTGTCGCCGACGACAATATGTACAAAACGACAATATGTACCGTCACAACAGGTATCGCATAATACTGAGCTATCACCGCTACAGACACTTTATGGTTTTTAAAGCGACAATGAAGCACCGCATTTACACATTGGAATTTTTTGGGGGAAAAGTTCATTTTTTATCGTCTCTGGGTTTTCTCTCCATTTTTTACAAATGTTTGTTAGTTTCTTTGAATTAAAATGAGTACAAATAAGGTTTGGAAATCATGGAGAGATGACCCAGAGATAGCAAATTTTTAGAAAAACGTGTGTAAAAATGTAACATTTTGTACCAAATGACTCATCTAGCCAATTTTCAAGTTCTTTTTTAGCAAATCAAAATACAATATCGGGAAAATATTTCCCTTTCCTATTTCACAGGAACCCGATACATGAAAAGAATGCTAAAATTCCATGTGACATACATGTATCAATGAAATTTTCACTTTTCAAGTGCGCCCAGATTCCTGCCGAATGCCAATCCAAAGCGCCCTCGTTCTTAGATGTAAAAAGTAATGTCGTTCAAATTTATAATTATGTGGAATTAAATGCTTCATCTAAGAATATCAAAATGTAAACATTGAATGATGTAAATTCGAGAAACATTAAAAGACTCGCTACGTATGTGACTGTAAAAATACTATGAGCCAGGAGCCCATTTCACAAAACTATCTTACGGACTACATTTTAGTTTAAAACAACGTGTTAAATGTTCATTATAATCCCTCTGTTCACTTAAATAGAACTTTGCTTTTACGCTTAATTGATTTTCCAAAAGAAATCAAATTTATAATTAAAATGTACACGATATCGATATACCTTGCGGGACAAACTTTTAACAATTTTATAACGGAATAATAGTCATTTATCCCGGTAAGAGAGTTATCCCTCTTATCAGAGTATCAGTGAACCTTAAGGATATCCCCTCTTTAGCCTGGAACAATTACTCTTAAACTTATTATTTAATTGATTAAGTCTGAAAATGACACTTGATTTTTTTTTTCCCAACAATTTTCATTTCATGAATTCATGAATCTTAATATGATTCAAAGTTCTTTGAAGTCTTAGGTATGGCCTTGTAAAAAGTAGACATTTGTATCCCATAAAAGCATACAAAAATTACATTTTTTAGAGAAATAAAAATTTCATTTAATCTTGCTTTAGATGCCAATGTTCATCAGCATGAAATGAAATTGGAAGTAATCTGTTATATCTTGCAATGATATCTCATGCTTTTTACACTTCATTTGAAGTTTATAGAAGAACTAAAATGCTGCATAAGTATAGAAAAAAAATATTGCGAATGCCTGGATACCTATACTTTTTTATGCTATAATGTACTCGATTAATTTTCAATTAGAAATGCATAATTGGTACTTTTATTCACGTTTGCAGAAAAAATATATATATGAGATTTAATAATTTTCATTATATGTATAATATGATAAACTTTCACGATGGACTTTGTAGAAGTAACATGAGTAAATACTCATTACATTGTAAATTCAGTGATCGATATTCGATCACTTTTACTTTACCGTATGCTGATTTCCGGAACCTGATTTTCCCTTAGGAGATTTTTTTCTTTCCTGTTGGATAGTTTTCCTCCTATAGGATTTGTCTTTCTCCTATAGGAAAGTAAATTCCCCTAGGAAATTAAACTTTTCTTTGGTAAATTAAATTCCTGCAGGAATTCTTAAATATCCTGCAGGAAATATTGAAATCCTGTAAGATTTTGATAATATCCTTAGGATTTTCAGTTTTCCTACAGGAACTTTATATTTCACATTGGAATTTTCTTTTCAAAGGTGATTATCTCACCTGACAGGTGAGATTTACCTGTAACAAAGGTAGTTTTGAACTCTGTTAGTGATGGTTTACAACATGGTATATATGGACTTTATGTAAAAATGAGAGTTTGACTGGAGCCGATTTGCCACTTTGTAAGTGGCAGATTTATCCGACACAGTGTTTATATTTATCACA